AAAATCTCCTTAGACACAAATAAATCGTGGAAATTGTAGTCACCCACCAGTGAGGAACCATAGGAGCAGTATTCATGCTTTTAATTCCCTGCATTGTAAATGCAGAGTTACAATTGTGTCTGCAGGAATAGCAAATGAAAAGATTCTGAGCATTTCATTAGAAAGAAGAAAGTAGTAACTCTGTGTTAAGATAAATGTTGCCATCTTGTGGCAAAGCCATGCAAAGCAATAAGAATGACAGTAAGAAAGAAAAATTCAAGTTAAAAAATAAGACGTATATGTTTATTTTTATCTTCCAAAGCCACGATATTTATTTTGTCTCCTCTCTAAAATACATGGCTGTTAAATACTTATTGAGTATGGATAGCATAATGACTGATGGACGCTTAAAGGAAACAAAGTTGCAGCACTCGGTGGTAGAGTATTGGAATGAAGCTGACTGGATCGTCGTACAGTCAGACTGCATAGTCTCATTGAGATGAATTTCCTCCTCCTGTGCTCTAACCACTGTGGAAGTACGTTCACCAAATTGCTGTAGACACATCATTAACTTTTCAATAGCAATGATGGTCAATGAATATTGGGCTTGCAACTGTCACCCCATGCTTTGTAGATGAATTATTACCAAAAAAATATATATTGCAGGGCCTCCCACCTCGCTGAATAATAGCTACTCGAAACAGCTTTTCTTGAGCTGCATGAGAAATGTTTCTCTGTGCCACCATTACTTCCTTTGCTACTTAAAGTCCTCTTGTTCTCAATCGTCCCACCAATAGAAATAGGCTTTTCCTCATCCACTCCGTTCAGATGCCTTATGATTTTGAATGGCTCTATTCAATCTCAAAACCTTCTCTTCTCTTAGAAACATAGTATCAAGTTCCCTGATCTATGTAATTGAAGTTCGTTATCCCTGGAACTCTTCTTGTGAGTCTTTTCTACACTCTCTAATACTTAAGTGTAGTGTCCATAGTTGTACGGAATAACCCAGATGAGGCTGAACCAGTGTTCTACGTAATTGTAAACAACCTTTATGCTTTTATACTGCACGGTCCTAGTAATAAAGCTGAGAACACTGTGTTTACTTAATCACATTCTCATTAAAAAGTGAAATTATACATGTACACATACGCCCAAGCCTTTCCACTCGTGCATCCCATTTAGATTTATACCCTTTGTTTTACATCGTCTCTTTATGCTCTTCCACCCAAAATGAATCACTATATTAAAAAGTATTCCAAAACTTAACACTGTACCTATGTGAGGAGTAAAATAATTGCAGATATTATTGAACATTCACAAACTGATTCAGGAATCTGACGTACATTTACAAAATTCCAATTCCATTACATGAGAAGCTTGGTGGTGGAATGGGCATAGTTATATTGGTGCTCAGCGGTGTTCCAAATGTTATCAGTTACAGCTTTAAGTGTTCTAATCTCTGAGAAGCTATTTAAGTCTTGGTTTACTGGATCTGACTCCTGTATATAGGGATTTCATGGCAAGTGCCAGGAAAGCCAGTTTCTATTCACACCAGCTCTGGTGGGTGCAAGCAGGTTAACACTAATAGAGTGGAATAACTTCTGGTGATGTAGGTAGCAGAATTGAAAATTTTCTATGCGAAGGTAATTTATAATTCTTTGGATCTTTGAGAAATTCAGCATGTATACTGAACTGCAATGGCTTGTCATGTTGCTAGGGAAGATGATAAACTCAGCAAACAATTCACTTATGGCATTATGAAGCTGTGCTTAACTGACTACTATAGGTTAATAATACCTCCAGTGGCAGCTTTCATTGACCACAATCAAAAGGCTCATAACTGAAATAACTGGGATAACTTGGGATAATATTAAAAGTCACATGGAAAAAATGTGGGTTAATTCAGAAGTGCCAGCACAGACTAATTAAGCAAAACAAAAACTCCTTAAAAAAAACCCTGCCTTTTCTCCATAACACGTAATATTGTTTCTCTTTTAAATAATCATCTAATGCCCTCTTGAATGTTTTAATTGAACATGCCTTCACCATACTTCTAGGCAGTGTGCTCCATACCCTAACTGTTCAGTGTGTGAAAAATAATTCTCACTTTATTATGCATATTTTGCGAATTGCCTCATATCTGTGCCTTCTCATTCTCAATTATTTTACAATTGGGCATAGTTTTCCTCCCTATTTACACTGTCCAGCACCTTAATGGTATTGAAAACTTATAAAAAATCTCCACATAGCCTTCTCTCCAATCCAATCAGTCCCAATTTCTCCAATGTATCCTCATAACAGAAGTGTCTCATTAATTGTCAGTTTCCTCTGCATTCACATCCCTCTGATTGTGTGGCACCAGAACTAGATACAATACTCTAGCTGAGGTCTAGTGTCTTGTAGAAGTTCAGCATAACCTCCTTGTTCTTGTACTCTTTTAATAAAGCCCAACGCTGTAAGCTTTATTAACTGCTTGTTCTACCTGTTCTGTCACTCAAATATATTCCAGAGAGGAAGAAAGATTGTATGAGGGGGAAAAATATACATGGTTAAGCAAGGAAATTAAAAGGTAGCAAAGACAAAAACTAACAAAGCCCAGTAACAGCTGAAAGATTGGGAAACTTTTACAGATCAACAAAAGGTTACTAAAAAAGTAACTATGAAAGAAAACTAGTGCAGAGTATAAAGCCAGATAGCAAAAGCTTGTATAAAGTATATATTGATCACTTGGAGGATGAGACTAGAGAGTGTTCACAGTGGGGAATATAGAAATGACAAAGATACAAATCAATATTTTGCTTCAGTTTTCACAGTGGAAGACACAAGAACAACCCTAATACTTATAGGTACTGCAGAAGTTATAGAAATGAGAAACTTAGAACAATTATGACTAAGGACAAAATATTGAGCAAACTAAATCGGGATTGAAGGCAAACAAGTCCCTAGGGCTGTTTTTTCTTCAAAGATGCTGCTGGACCTGCTGAATTCCTCCAGTAATTTCCCTTTTTGTTCCCAATGGCCTATATCATAAGGTCTTAAAGGAAATGGCAGCAGAGATAGTGGATCCATTCGTTATCATATTCCAAAATTCCTTGGATCCAGGAATGTTTGCAGTGGATTCAAAAAATGCTAATATAATGCCCTTATTCAAAGTGAGAGAGGCAGAAAGTCGGCAACTATAGATCATAGTTTAATATGTGTCATTGGGAAATTGTTAGAGTCTATTATTAAAGGTAACAGGACATTTTGAAAGTCAAAACACAATCCATCAGTCAGGATGTTTTTAAGAAGAGTAAACCATGTTTGATTGGTTTGCTAGAGTTCTTTAAAAGTGTAACAAGCAAGGTGGATAATGGGAATCCTGTGGACGTAAAGTATCTGGACATCCAGAAGATATTTGATAAGCTGCTAACAAAAATTTAAGATTTAAGGTAAGATCACATGGGGTTAAGGGTAATTTATTAGCTTGGATATAGGAGTGGTTAACAAACAGAAAGCAGAAAGTTGGAATGAAGGGGCCTAGTTAACAGGATGTAACTCGTGGGGTGCCACAAGGTTTGATCCTTGGGCCCCAATTATTTACAATCTATATTAATGGCTTGGGTACAGGGCTAGAAGATAACTGTAGTTTAATTTACAGATGACAATAAAATAGGTGGAAAACTTAGCTGCAATAAAGAAATCAGAAATTATACAAACAAATATGGATAGGTTAGGTGAATGGGCCAAAATCTGAAGACAGAGTTCAAAATGGCTAATTGTGAGGTTATCTATTTTGGTCAGAAGAATAGAAAGGCAATTTATAATCTAAATAGAGAGAAGCTTCAGACTGCTTTGGCGCAGAAGGATCTGTGTCTTTGTGTATGAATCACAGAAAACTATCATGCAGGTACAGCAGGTAGTAAGGATGGCAAACAGAATTTTGGCATTTATTGCTAAAGGAATAGAGCATAAAATTTGCTGAAACTGTACAAGGTATTAGTGAGACTGCACCTGAAGTATTATGTACAGCTTTGATCCCCTTACTTGGGGAAGGATGTAATTGCATTAGATGCAGGTCAAAGGAGACTTAGTAGATTGATTCCAGAGGTGAGGACTTTGTCTTATGAAAGAGATCGAACAGTTTAGGCTATCTGTCTAGACTTTAGAAGAATAAGAGGAAATCTAATTAGGCATATGAAAGATACTAAAGCGAACTGACAGAAGGTTTCCTCTTGTGAGGCAATCTAGAATTGAGAGATCATAATTTCAGAATAATGAGCAGCATATTTAAAACAGAGATGAGGATAAATTCCTTCTCTCAAAGAGTCATGGATCTGTGAAATTCACTACCCCAGAGTGTGATGGCTGCTGGGACAGAGTAAATTTAAGGAGATAGATTTTTCACTAGTAACAAGTTGAAGGGTTATGGAGATGGTTCAGGAAAGTGGATTTGAGGCTGGCATGAGATCAGCCATCATCACATTGAATAGTGGAGCAGGCTCAAGGAGCTGAATTGACTACTCCTGTTCCTAGTTCTTACATTCTGTCGTGACTTTGCATACTTACACTCTGGTCCTTCTGCTAAAGAATTGTGCCCATAATTTTACATTGCGTCTCCACGCTCTTGCTACAGAAATGTATCATTTCTCTGCATTGAGCCTCACTTGCAATTTACCTATCTACTCCTCCAATGTGTCAATATTCTTTAGTAGTTTCACATTGTCCTTCTCAGTTTACAATTCTTCCAGGTTTTGTATCAAAACTCCACTAGAACTTTCCTCCAGCATGAAAAATATCCATTGACCATTACTCAGTTTTCAATTTTGTCTCCAAACTATTACTGTCCCTTTTATTCCATGAGCTATAACTTCTCTCACAAGTATCTTGTGTGTCACTGCATCAAAAGCTTCTTGAAAGTTGATGAATACCATATCAAAAGCAATACCCTCAACAACCTTTTCTGTTACACAAATAAAGATGAAAAAACTAACTAATGCAAATCACATTTTAAAAATTAACCTCAAATAAAATTTTCTTACCCATTGTCTATTCCATTTAATCCCAGCTTCTTTCCAATATCTCCAACCATTACTCCAGGCATTGCAAGCAAGGTCTTTGGATCTCTGATCTACATACATTTTGATTTTCACGGATGTCAAAATTAAAAAAGAAGAAGGAAGGGGGATTAGAAATTGACCACTCACTTTTGAAACCAAATTTTAAACCTAGACTGATGGACAGAAAGCTTTATAAATGTCTTGTACGTTTAACTAATTTGGGCAAAGTTGATCCATATTCCAATGGGTTGACCTTTATCATAATTAATCAAAGGTCACAGCATGGCTGACCTAGAAATGCTAGATTTTGATACACTTGTTACCTGAAATGGAAGGGTAAATTCTCCACCACCTTATTAGCGCAAAACAAATACAGTAAAACAAAACATTTATTATACCCAGCTATGATAACTTAAAATTTACAAATCAAACCCTTTTAAAAGTTATTTTGGCAAGAAATGTTTGTCAACATTTCCATAAATCATAAATCAAAACAGGCAAATTGTTTTCTTGTACAATTTGATATCAATTCCATAAATCAAGCTAAATCAAACAATAGAAAGTACATAAATGAATCCACATACATTTAAGAACAGTAATTACATTTATATTACTGACCACAGCTCTATAAACTACATAACTTGGGAACAAAGCCTTATTGATACAAATTTAGTTTATATCATGTTTCCGTGCAGTTTGTGAAAGTTGATCAGAGTTGGCCCATGCTTCTCAGTTCCCAGTTTCATTGGCCATGGCCATGCCATTGTACAGAGTTGCTTAACAGAAGCTAGGTACCACTTGGAAGGAAATACAAGAACATAAGAAACCGGAGTTACAGTAGGACTTTTGATCCTTTGTGTTTACTCTGTCATGTAATCAGATGGAGAAGAGTTTCACCAGATGTTGCCTGAGTAGGGGTGTTTCACCTGTGAAAAGAAACTAGTTAGATTGGGTTGTTTTCCTTAGAGCAGAGAAAGCTGAAGGGAACCTGACTGAAGTATACAAAATCATGAAGGGCATAGATAGAGTAGATAGGGAGAAATGTTTCCCCTTATTAGACTGGTTAATAAGCAGGGAAGAAAATGGTAAGGACCAGACGATTTAGAGGTTATTTGAAGAAAATTGTTTCCATCCGGAAGATGG